TGAGAGTCACTTTATCGCCCAAATGTTTGTCTTTATAATCTTTGTTTAATGCTACTTTTTAAAATTGATTCTGGGAAAAAAAGCTAATATTCTTAGAGAAGATTCTAGATGCCTAAAAGGGATTTTTGGGATGGTGTTTATGTTCAGAAACTCAACGCTCTGGAGATTACAGCCACATTAACAGTTTGGTCCCACCTCAGTTGTCATAATTGAGGATTAATGGTAATTTTATGTCCTCTGAACCGACGTGGGTCTTGTGCTCTTGAGCTGATGATTAAGAGGCAGCTCATGTTTGATATGTTGGGTTAGCTTTAGGATTGTCCTTTACAGTTTGAACACATTGAGCCAAATCCTGATGAAACCAGCCAGTGTTTATACCCGTTTCTAGTGAGTCAGATTGGGAATTGATGTTGTATATTTTCATTCTGGCAGATCTGGTAAGTTCAGACACCAAAGATGATTGATTGCTGGATTGTTGCGTGAGTCTGATTGGTTTCACACTTGGGTTCCTGGTCAGAAGTGCGTGAAGGTACTGGTTGGAGCTTTTGATGAACTGCTGAGTGTCTTTGAAGGAATGGGACATGAGATTAAAGGTCATTGGTGCGGAGATGCACAGATTAGTTTTCCGTCACAGAGACGCATGTTGAATTTAGTGCTTTTATTTTTACGTTCCAGAGGTTGTAAATGGTGGTTTGCAAGAGATGCTACAGTGAAAATTGCACTGTTTTCTCCGCTCTAGGACTCTGAATGTTACCTCATATATTCTGACTGCAGTGGCTGTGTTTTGTGAAGCATTTTATTGCGCTAGGATGGAAGCTGGCGTTCTAGAATCTTCTTGAAGGTAGGAGCCAATGCTGGCTTCCTTTATGACATCACTTCCCCCTCAGCGTATTGCCCCGTCCAGCCGCACTGCACTTTATTCACGGGGCCTATGGAAACTCCCGCAATGCCTCACAATAAACACTATATGCTAGATGCTAAAGGTCCTTTACTCACCCTTTAATGGCCAATTATGACTGAACTATAGCTTGGTAATATAGTTTAAAGATTGTATTAAAAAATGAAGAACTTTCTAAGATGTTTGGGTGAGACTGTACTTCTCCTTCCTCGACATTTGAAATGTGAACGTCAGCTTCATGAATATTCAGTCGTTTCCATTGGTTTCATTTGGGGCGGGCGGGGGTTTAGATTTCTCTATAAATGCTACGACTGGGTGTATTTTTACATTTGTTTGTAATTTATTTAAAATTTTTCTATATTTTTTCATGTGTTTTTTCAAAAGAGTTCTCTACGGCATTTATAAAGCAAATTAAGAGATATATACGACGATGACACAAATATGTATATATTTCTTATGTTCAAGATCTTTTGTTTAATTTCTTACGTGCTGAAGTTATTTTTTCAGAAATGACTATATGATTATAAATATATATATATGCTAGATGAAATGACTAATAAAATGTGTTTAACAAAGTGCTGAATGTGTATTGTATCTTCTACTGGAGTGATTTCAATTTAACACTAGTAGTTTTTGGTTTGATGCTCTTGAGAAGTCTTTGATTTCCTAATATAGTTTGACATGAAAACTTCCAAAGCAAGATGGTGTATAAACCTCCTATCATCCTTGGTGTTCAAACCCAAAATATTTATCTCCTTAGGCATTGCAGGTTTCTCTCAAATTAACAGTATTATTGACAAAAATGCAAAGATCCTTTAATAATTTTGTCAATATCTATCCTGTCTATTGGCAAACGGTCCGTTCATAATAAGGTTAATAAAAGTCTTTCAGGTTTGTAACACAACTCCAGCTCTTCTTTGTTTCTTTGTATCGAATGGGATTTAATTTGGATTGAAGTAATTTGATACAGGACATATATTTGATTATTAGTAATATCCAAAAAGAGTTTAAGAATCATGAAGACTTTGGTCTGTTTGTTTTTTTGACATTACAACCGCCAAATTAAAACATTTCAGCATGTCAAACTCTTGAGATGTGTTGTTGATATAACCTCACTGTTCTCATGCAGCTGAATAAACACCTGCAGCTGGGAATGAAGCTCTGGATCACAACCTCTGATCACAGACTTCAGTTAATCAGAACACAGAACAGTCTATATGGGCTATTTAGTTTTCCAGTCATGTAATATACATTGATTCTGTTTATTCTATTTCTATTGGAAACAAAGCAAGTTTAAATGGTACATAAGCTCCATTTATATGATCTTATTTGCTCTTTTTTTTTTTTTTTTGGGATGTTTAAAATGTCTAAATTGGCTTTGATTGTCAGAACGCACCGGTCATGTCTACATGAGGTTTATGTGGATCGGATCAAATTTCTTTCCCTTTAAATCTGCCATTTGCATTATTAGTGCAAACTTAAACCAGAATCAATTCTGTAGAAGAAATACAAGTCTAAGGTGATTCTGTATATGTGATAAATATTTGAAGTGAATCTCAAGAAGAACATGTCCATTTTATTTTTAATTTTTTTCAGGTATAATATCGCTATATACATGCATAATTTATCTTCTTCGAGTGAGAAAGGAGCCAAAACTTGTCAATGTTTTTTTTAATTTTTTTTTAAAAGAGCGTGTTTGAGATGTGAATGTCTTACATCTCTTATAACATCAAACCTATAGAGTCTCGGCAGAATAAAATCAGAATGCCAGATTGCCAGAAAGTTAAATCAGATCATGCATCAATTATATGATGTCAAACACAGTGAAGGTAATAATAATACTAGCACTAATGAAAAAGTTAAATCACAATCTCAATGAAACCATCCCAAAAAACTGCAACACTTAAGACGTTTATCTGTGTGAATGAAACAAATGATTAAGACCGAGACCTGTTATGAAAATGCTTATGCAATTTTCTTCATCAGATTTTCTCGGCATCACAGTCTGAGTGATCAGTTGGACTAATACATGTTCAGTGTAGTATTTGGCGCCTCTCAGCACATGAGCTAAACCTGTTTTCCAGCATGATTTGAGATTTGAAGCAGGGTTATGATTGTTAACTACAAGACCTGTTATGAAAATGCTTATGCAATTTTCTTCATCAGATTTTCTCTGCATCACAGTCTGAGTGATCAGTTGGACTAATACATGTTCAGTGTAGTATTTGGCGCCTCTCAGCACCACATGAGCTAAACCTGTTTTCCAGCATGATTTGAGATTTGAAGCAGGGTTATGATTGTTAACTACAAAATAATAATTAATTGAAGTAAATTAAAATATGCAAAAACTTGATTTTATTTGAGCTTGTTGCCAATGTTTCTAATTTTATTATAATATAACAATAAATGGACATACAAATAAGCTTTATTATTCTTTAAATATTTAGCATTTGGGGTGAAATATGACCCAGACACAATGATCAAGTACACTTGAACCTTTCTCTGTAAAATATTTAGAAAATGAATGACATGAAAAATAAACTGAATGATTCCGTATTCACTGCATTTTTAAAAATTAATAAAAATGTAATACAATGTATATGTGTAATAATATAAAATATATATGTATATGTAATAATATGGACATATTAAACAAAAATGTATAAAAACAACAAAAACATTACTATATATTAAAATAAAAAAGCAACTTTTTCATGTTGTATGTGATGTATATGATTTTTGTTCTGTCTCAAGCATGTAAAGGTGATTTGATTCTCTCTCTTCAGACACATTCCGATCAGTGTGTGCCTCTGAAGCAGATGTTATGTAACGACACTCGAGTGTGAGGATGATTGTTACGTAACATCAGACTGAGAATAACAATGAACCAACACAAAGGAGAAAAACACACACACACACACACTCAGAGGATGCTGTACAGACAAAAGTGCATTAAAAGCATGTGCAGAATGATGTTTTGTACAGTATTATTTGTGTGTTTCTGCACGGATGCTCGTTAAGGTCACTGATCGTCTCTGCAGCAAGAGCCATACTGTACTGCAGATGCGTCTCGCACATGTGATGTCATCAGCAGCAGCCAATCACAGCGCAGATCCATCACAACCTCAGCAAGGTCAAATCACTGATAACAGACTTTATTAATATGCGCGATACAGGATAGTCATCATAACATACTGCGTTACACCAGAGGAAAATGACTTTATAAAAACAACAGGACTCTTTAAAAAAAGTAATTTTTTTAAAAGTGTGTCCATCCATATATTGAAAGTTACATGTTTTATTAAAGACAAAAACGTAAAAAAAAAATCTAAATGCTACATTTCCGTTTCACAGAGTCCAACGTAGAACTCAACGTCTGGAGTTTATGACATTAATAACAAAAATCAAAGGCCAACGTCACAATTCAGATTAAATCACAAAATTGCCCTATAAAAACAAACAAACAAACTTCCTTCTTGTACATTTGAAACACAGGGATTGACGTGAAAGTTTTGTTTGGTTTGTAAAATTAAATCAAACAGGAGTAGAAAGAGTTAAAACAAATCTATCAAAAAAAAATTTAAATATATGTGGAAGAGAAGGACACACCCACTGCACAACGTCACCATGACAACAGCATGCACTAATGACTCGTCAATATACAATAGATTCGCCTGTAAGTGCTAGAAACCCGTTTTGCAGAAACACAATCCTGATGACTTATGACATTAGTTAAAAATAAATAAATAAAAAAAATACAATAAAAAAATGTAAAACGTTGATCTGTTAAAAATTTAATTGTAAGCACAGCATTAAAAACAAACCATGATTAAATGTAATCTATCAAAATCCATAAACACTAGAAGCAAATTATTTTCCACCATTAAACAAAATAAAATAACTTGGAATACCAGTGAAAAACAGCAATAAACGTGAGACTCTAGTGATGCTAATGTCACTGACTAAAACAAATCATGCTCATGCCACAATGGTTTTACCAATGCAAAAATGTATCTAAAAATGCATTATTATTATTATTTTTATTTTAGTAATTCATTAAAAATGCAATGATGAATGCGTCATTGGTAAGAATAAATTTTTTTTTAAAACATTTTACATTTACATTTTACACAGAAATTCGTTACGCTTGTGTTTTTAACGGATGCTGAGCTGCCAGACTAAAAAAATTCATTTTAAATAAATGTAAAAAAAAAAAAAAACACTTGTTAGAAATATCTAATCTGAGGTAAAGATGAATCGCACATTATTGCCCTGGATTAAACCCTGAAAACAAACCAGATCCAGTCGCTCACAGTTAAACTCCTGCGCAGACGCTCGCGTTAAAATAATCGTCCAGTTAACTGCCGTGAAGATGCATTTGAACGCAGCACAGTCGCTATAGTGTTAAAAATCTGCACAATAGAAATGTCGCTTTTTACATGGTAAGATCATTCTGGAAGAACAACGACACTAGTGGACGGATACAAGCGTATATTTACAGACTCTTCTTTCTTTCAAATCTTCGCAAACCGCAATCGCCCGAAGTGCACTCGTTTTTGTAGAATAAAGAAAATAATTGCTTCATATCAAGGGTCATGTGCTTGTTTTCTGCGAAAAAAACCTCTTGTACACAAACACCGATGACATGTCAAGTACAAAAAGGAAGAAACAGGTTAAAAACTAGCTGAAAACAGTCGTAAAGTCATGTTTTCCATGACCAAACACTCTCAGACTGAACGCTAACTTGCCGTCCGCCGTGTGCGACTTTTCCAGTCGGCTGCATTATCTCATCTTCATACCGAATAAACTTCTAAAAACTCACTGCTCGGGTCATATGGGGGTCGTGGAGAGGGCAGAATGAGGTATGAGGAGGCCAGAGGTCAAAGGTTATGCTGTTATCATGTGTTTTGTGTCTTCTAAACCCTTAAAACATCCTCTTAAAAACACGCGCTCGCGTCATTCTCGTCCACTTTCCGCGCGGTGCCACATTACCCACAATCCCCGGCCGTGTAACTGCGGTGTGAATTATAAAGAGACTGATATGTGTCAGGGTGAAGCGTGTCCCTCACAGCGAGCCGTATTTGGCTTCGTACAGCAACATGATCTTCTTGCAGCGGCCGCAGTCTTTGCGCAGCTCGGCCACTTCCTGTCGCAGCGCGGCGTTTTCTCGCTCCAGGAAGGTGGTGCGGACGGCGATCTGGTTCTCTTTCAGACGCCGGGCATCACGAGAGCGCTTCGCCGCCACATTGTTCTTCTTCCTTCGCGACCAGTATTTCTCATCCTGCGGAAAAATGCAAACATCTCGTTACTGAGGCAGGTAAAACAATATTAGTTGTAACTTTACGTTTTATGTTGTAACATTAACAAAAACATACTGTAAATGATTATTGTCATAGTCTGTCTCACATGTATTATGATAAAACGTTAGCGATTACATTTTAAACAAATTCATGTCTAAAACAGTGCGTCTATGAACTTTTTCAGCAGCCTTGGTTCAAACCAGTGACGAGGAGCATCACAACATTACAAACGTTGTCTTTTGGTCAGATTTTCAAATAATTCTATGCTCAAATCAAAGATAGAAGAGCTTTAAGGAATAAACTACAATCCTATAAAACACTGCAAGCAAAAGAAAGAAAGAAAGAAAGAAAGACTATTGATTTAAAGTTGTTAATTTTGACTACAGAAACAATGTACTTTAGGTTTAGTGCAAAACAAGATTTATACAAATATCAGTGTTATTTTAGTATCACTAACATACTACTACAGTTTTATTAACATTTGGAATGTTTTTCTTTTAATTTTAGTTAGAGGCTTAGTCATTTTGTTGCGTGTTGACATTATTATTCATACATTTTTTAATATCTATAGAATTTGAATTAATTTTTTATTTTAACTTTTGATATTTTAGTACTTTAAAATACTTTTAAAATATTGCCTTGGCAAGTAGCAAGTTTTAGTAAACAATAATAATTTCTCTAATTTATGTTCCAGGCCTTATTCTGAATAATCAATCAATAAATCAATAAATAAAAAGTATGGTATGATCCATACTGGTACCAAATACCAGCTGTATATTATCCAATCAATTTGTGACATTAAAAAGTCCTGCTCTAATTTTTTTGTCCAGTTTTACCTGGAAATTTCACATAACGGACGTAAAATAGATCGCGAGTAATTCTTGTTGACCTTAACATGGTGGATTAATCAGAAGTTGGCAAACAATAGTATAGCATGCGATAGTGTGCGCTGCTAATGCTAAACAACAGCATGTTAAATCCTAAGAATCAGATTTAGTCATTATAATTGAAATATATTTCCTGGATGACTAGCGAGAGGCCTGTGGGTTCAAATGTGTAATGAGAGCCACGTTTGCTACCATATCACTGTTTCCTGATTTTTCTGTTCATAAAAACATTCAATCGGTTCAGTCTCACCTTCGCATCTTCAGGAACGAACACTTTCTTGGCTTTCTTGATCATGGGCTGTGGTTTGAGCTCATCCTCAGAGAAGCGGTGTTTCCGCGGATTGAAGAGCTCTCCTCCGGGAACGCTGGACAGGACCAGATCCGTGGGGTCCGGCTGGAAGGCCACGTTCACCTCTATCTCCTCCGGGTCGATAGGAGTGGGCGTCACGCGGTCGGGGTCGACTTTGGGTTCTGGCCGGTAAAAACAGAGCGATGTATAGCCGTTACAATAAAATCAACAGAATAAACCCATGACCGGAGAAAATAAGGAACCAGATGAACATTCATTCACCAGCAGAAACCATCAGTCAGCCAACAAGTCAAATTAACTACCAGCAGCTAGCTGAGTTTCTGTTTAACTGCTGGTTTAAGTAAGTGTGTTTTGACTGATAAATGTAGGTTCAAACTGCATGGACTGATGTAGAGATGAGCGAACAACAACAAAATGCTTCATGTTTATGCTCCAATTTTTAGATACATCAGATCATTCATACTTTATTATTATTATTATTATTTTAATTTGGATCTTGATGGATCAAAACATCAGATGAACACTTGAGTTTAAAACTAAAGATTTAAAGCAGTCAAACTGATATCAGAAAACTGTGGAAACTTATTTCCCTCCATGTCAACAATAAATAAAAAATATAATTTCAAGTTTTTATCTGACAATTCTGACTTCTTTTCCTCAATTCTCAGTTTTTTTTCTGCCATGAAAAAAAAAATATTGTAGTGATGAATATTAACCTTACAATTCTGACTTTTTCCCTCATAACTGCCAGTTTATATCTTGCAAGTTTTTTTTTCTTCTTCTCAGAATTCTGAGTCGATATCTCACAATTCTGACTTTTTAAAATGTTGATTTTTATATCCTGCAATTCTGAGTTTTAGAATACCACGTATACACATCTTACAATTCTAACTTTTTTTAAATTGTAAAATGCTTTTTTTTTTGCGCACTACAGAACAAAAATAAATAAAATAAAAATATGGCAATTGCAACTTTTAATCTCACAAGTCTCACTTCTGACCAAATTTGCGATAAAAACTCAGAATTGCGAGCAAAAAAAGTCAAGTGTGAGATTAAGTCATAATTACCCTTTTTTTATTTATTTATACTTTTATTCCATTTAAGACAAGCTTCCATAGAAACCATATTTTGACAAACTGCATGAGACACGTTTGAATCTGATTAAAACATACGACACACATCAGATGAGATCTAATACAATAACTATTTAACATTACACACAAACACTGTTTTTTTTTTTTTCAAGGTCACACATCATGCTGACAAAAAGCCGTTTCTGACCTTGAGGTTGCGGCTCTAACAAATGATTTCTACGGTCTCACAGTTTAAACTATTACACCATTCATCTTAAACATCTGCTATCGAGAAAAAATAAATGGGATTTGTGAAGCTACTTTGAAACCCTAGTTACTCTAAAGTCGTTCAACTTCAGTCAAGCTACTCTTCTGAAACATTACTTTACTGAAGCTATTTAGGGGGCCAGTAGGCCTATGTTTCTGTCATTTATAATATCAGTGGTGCAAAAACAAAACACACTCTTGTTTGTCGTCTCTCCTGCTGTCGTCTCAATGCTCACAGAGAGCGAGTCATCCTCAGGCTCTTCATCGTCCTTGTGCTCCTCCTCAGGCATCTGTGGGACGGCCGCTGGCTCATCTGAGGAACCCTGCGTGTCGCCGCCTCGCCACTCTGCCTCGGCACACTTGCTCAGCTCCTCCTCCAGTGTGATGGGAATCTCGTTCTCCAGCAGGAACTCGTCCAGGTCCATGTACTCTAGGTGGAAGGTCTCGCCATCGTATGGGATGGTTTTGTCCCAGATGGCGGGGGTGAGAGAGGCGGAGACGCTCCCCGTGCCACCCGAACCGCCGCCGGACATCCCATCGACGATCAAACCCTGTTTCTCCTTCTCGATGTCTGTGCGAGAAATTACAGTTTAGTCAAATATCAAAGAAGCAGTAGAAATTTCAATGGCAGTTCATGGGAGTTTGATAAATACAATAAAATCAAACCAAACAAAATAAAACAGAAAAATACAATAGAATATAATCAAAACAAGATGCTTTAAATGTACATATTTACATAGTTTCTGGAAAGTAGCAAGTAAAATTTATTTATAAAGCACGTTTAAACACAGCTGATCAAAGTGCTAAACAAAGTAAATTACAGCACAATAAAATACATCGCATAATGTAAAACAATATTAAATACTCTAAAAACACAAAGGAATATAATAATAATACATGATTGAAAATGCTGTCACAATGCAACAACAACAAAGAAAATACTTAATGGTCAAAAATTAAATATAATTTCTTGATTTCTCCTCTTGATTTTAATGTGAACATGTCCTCGGCAGGTTTTGTGAAATTCTGACCTTTAGACATCCAACTTCACTTTAATTTTCTACAGTAAAAACTGTTCACATGGCACATATTAATTTGTTTTCAGTAACTACCCATGTTAGCAATCAGTTTAAATGCCAGAAAGAATCCAGACCTTTATACATCCAACTTCACTTACATTTTCTGCAGTTAAAAAAAAAGGACTTTATACACTTACATGAGATGAGATTTATGAAATGACAAAGTGTTTCACAGATTGACATGCCTACAGATGCCTAATGTGGGTCTTTTTCAAGCGAGATGATAAGAATAAGTATTAATAACGTTCATAAAGAGCAGGTCAGTCTTTAGCACGGTAAAACCACAAGATAGACATATTAGATCCACAAAACATGACCAATAACTAAAATACTCTCTTAAACGCCAGCATTCAGGAATATAACGTACAATGTCAAATCTACAGCTCCTGAATGAGTTTCATATTAAAGAAGAGGAGAAAACATAACCATGGTTTTCCATGAGTGTGGAATCTCTAATAAAATAAAACATCATACTAAAATATCATATTACATTGATGGTATGTATACCATGGTGCTAAAATTCTTGTACTGGTGTTTTTAGGATATACAAAGGTTCTTCAAAGAATACCATGGTACTACCACACAGTACATGCCCAAGTATTCAAATATACCATGGAAGAAACAACCACATGTAGTACCATGGTACGTTTGCATCTTCTGATATATAATTTCACCACTGTTTTTAGCATGTTAGCCATTCAACATGTGTGAACACTATACACAATATGTACAAATAAGGGTTTTCTGGACGTATACCATGATATTTTTGAAGCAACTTACAAAAACCTCCATTTCAAAACGAAAGTGTATTAAAATACCGAGGTATATCAGCCTGATATGATGGATAAAGCAGCACTCTTCTGAGGGAACTTTCTGTTCTTTTGAGCGACCAATGAGCGCGCAGCTGTAGAGGTGAAGCCAAGTGCGCCATTAACGTTACAAACAAACACGCGTTGAACGGAACGGTTTGTACATTTGATTTGCATTTTGGCAGGTTTATGGTTCTCACCATCGTCTTGATCCTCCAGTATGTTTGGAGGAGGAATATCCATGATCTTCTTTAAAACAAAACCGGACGATTTTTGCGGACCGATGGCCACCGTCACCGACGCCTGTCCGGGCATCATTAGCGTGATATTATCCGAGGAAATACACAAACGTCGCTTGTGTCCGTTAATCCTCCCGTTTCTGTTTGAGAAAATACTGTCAAAACAACGCCGTAGCGATCCACTCCAAGCTTACTGAGCTAGGCACTCACATATTCATGATGACCGCGAAACTCGAAGCGCTGATTGGTTACCTCGCCAACGGCTCATGAATGTTAAAGCAGACGGGGCGTGTAGATACGGTTCTTAAAGAGCCCAAGGCGGATTCTCGCTCTATGATTGGTCAACGGTTAATCCGCCTCATCCAGCTCTACAACAATAAAAGCGGAATGAGGCGAACCATCCGCTTTGTTCCGAAAACAAACAAAGACTGTCTATATAAATACCCGACCAGAGGAAACATGCTAAATACACTCAACATTTGGCTTAATTAACTGTAAATGCATCAGAAAATGGCAAATCATACACAATTATTTTCTATATTTACACACATCAACGGCGACCATTCAATATCCACGTTTAAGTCAGCTTCTTGGCACTTTAAAACATCTTTATTAAAGACAAGAAGTGTGTTAATGTACTACTGCAGTTGTATTTTTCCACCAAAGTGATGAGCTCATGCCTTCACACGTGCCGCCAGCGCGCGCGAACACTGGGTGGGCGGGGCTTCTGCACGTGCCGTACAGCTGCTGCCCGACTGGCAAGACATTGCGTGTATTTATCATCACTGCAAAGGTGTTTACTCTTGGTCTCATGTTCCCTATATGAACAATATTTAAAATAACAAAGACTGACTTTTTTTTATATTCCAGTCCTTTGAATCCTTGGGAACATGAGTCAAATGGACAACTTTTGTGATACCCTTTTGTCATTTTTGAGCTACCCAGTCCCATTATCTACAAGATAGATCTATTTTTGTGTGTTTTGCAGAAACAATAGTCATACAAGTTTGAAAAGACATGAAGAAATGATTTAAATAACGACAGAATTTTCATTTTGAGTGAACAAATTAAAAAAGAGCCACCCTTACAAAATGTGGTGTAGGCCCAAGCTCTGTTGGTGCCCTAGGCGAGATTTTAGATTTCCGCCCACCCACTCTTAATAATTTATTACAAGCTAGTTAGTCTAATTAGCATACCCATACCTTTCATTTCAATTTTGTGCATGTGGAAGATGGAAAATGACATACTTAAACTTAATTATTTCATTTTATGAATGCTAGATTATAGTCCTAGTCATGGTCTTTTTCAAAAGACATTTAGACACTTTAAAAGCAAGCAGTAATGTAACTGAAGTTAAAACAACATTACAGAAGCTTAAAATTATTTTTTTTTAAATAAAGTAAAATTTAAATAAGCAGTTAACTCAAGCAAAAACGTTCCACGGTGTCAGTGTTGTCAGGTAAGATGTTCTAAAAAGGCTATTTCAAAACACTGCATAAACATCACGAGCAAATACACAGTCGTGAACTTGTGATTTTTACCTCTATATTGATTTTTTTCTGCTCCTCTTCTTTGTGTCGCTTCCTGCATTGTGCCCCTAAAATTTTATTTTTTCACTAATTGTTTAGAAAAGATACTTTAAGAGCACATAAATGGCAAAACTATTTTAACTGTGCGCGCCATGCATAATTAATGCGGTATGATGTATTATAATTATGTCATGACACAGAAAGTGTTTAAATTAGTCCAACATGACATGTTGTCAAATCTTATGATTTTTCGTTGATGTCAATTTTATTTTATTCTAACATTATTTTAATCAGTTCGATGATCGATCAGAACTCAAATTATGTTAATTGTCAGAAATTATTTCGCTTAATATATGGGTGTAGAGCGCACAATGGTCACAAGATGGCGCACTTCCGACCAAAAAAAAAAAAAAAAACCTTTCCAAGTGCAACTGCCTATGTCGCCTATGCCACAGCCGGCCCTGTGTACGCCTTCTGGTATTTACAGTTCTCAAGGTCACCTCAGTGTTGCTTCATGTTATAAGAAGAAATTATGAAATACAATTTCATAATTAGTAATGCAGTGCTCATCCGAACACAGAGACTTCAATACTTGGTACACAATTCTTGGTAACATTCTGTGGTTCATTTTTGAGTATGAATCTATCATTTTGAGTAGAAAATGAACTCCAGATGTAACAAAACCGCAAATTACTAAACCTTACAACAAAAGCATTGATAAAAAATACAGGTGGAAAACAGGGGAAAAATCTACCTTATTAATTATGCCCCAGTGCATGATGGGAACACCAGTATCAGAAAAGTTGAGTAGGCTTGACGTTTATATTTACACTTATATAACTTCTAGTCTACAAGCAAAAATTATTGGCTGAACTAACTTTTTCATATAGGAATTACATTTGTTTTGCTGTAGTATTTACTTTGCCACAGAATCATTTTTATCAGTGTGGAGTTTAAGCAGCTTTATACTGAAGTCTGCTGTGCATAGAATGGTAATGGTTCGGTTGGATGGGAACATTTTGTTCTAAATTGACAATCTCGAACCGCACTGATCTTGAGAATGTGTAATGACTGATCAGATATCAGAACTATTTCACAGAGATTACAGGGCAAACACAACAGATTCAAATAACCCCACAGCCAAATCAACCAGTTTCCACTGATAAAAATGAATGTGATGCATGTGATGGAGTCAGACTGAAAGAGATCTGTACTTCGTGTGCAAAGATGCTTGCATTTTGCTTCTACTCTGTGATGCTGACTCAACATTATTTTGTCTAAAACTTCAGTAACTTTTTAAAAGTTTGAAATATTCACCATATTTAATTGAGAAATAGTTGAACCTGCTCTTCTTGTTCTTTGAGAAACTTTACAAGAATCTGCACAAGATCATCAACACCAATGAGCAGTTTACTGGTTTTATACGAACAGGATATCTTTAAGCTTACAATACTGCTGCTTTTAATCAGATTTAACGCTCTGCTATTATTTCCCAGACTTTGTGGATCAGGAGGAAGAAGCGTCCCAGATTACAGTGCAAATCATTATCTTTATACTGGTTGGACAAGTGGGAATCTCCAGGAAAGGTTTGAAAACTTGCTGGATGTCATTCAGCATGAAAATCACTCATATTAGACATTTTAATGTCCAGCAATGAAGTCCAACTGCCAGTCCAGTTTTTATTAGTTTTTGTCAATAAAAGGCCATTAATACTCTGCATTTGAGTCCTCACCGCATCCCTTCACAAACCCCTGACAATATCCGTTATAAATTAATTGTTCTTTGATAATTTACATTATATTACATTAATTACACTTAAAATGGTGTGCTACAACAACAAAGACAATCCGATTCATGGTTATTCATATCATACAAAACATTTTTGAAAGGGTAATTCTTGTTTTAAGTAATCTAATTATTTCTGCATCTTTTTTTAAACATTTAATTGCGTAGCAGTTCAAGGAAGTATTTCTGTAAAAGGCTGACTTAATAATAGCAAATGAGAAAATGTTGTGATAGTAGAAAACAAACTACTGCAATATGATTTCTTTCTTTAAAAATTGGGTTTAATATCTCTTAAATGCATTTATTATAAGGCATGTGGCCTCATTATCAGAGTTTTTTTCTTTTCTTATCATTTCTTTTACATAACACCAATGATCATGACGTGTTATCATTTTACTGCTGTCGTTTGCGATTGTTTTGCTCAGTTTCCATATGTTACAATAGCATGCATGAAAAGTGTCTTGCTATGGTATTTTTGGTTTTGAAGATTGTTGCAGCACTGGTTGAATGTTCTGTCATAGGTTCGATAAGCCTAAGGATGATATTAAGCACTCCTCAGACTGGCAAAAAAAAAAAAATGTGCTGTTAGTTCTTCTCACGTAGTGGTAAAAATGACTACTTGTTTTTCAATTAAATGACTGTATTACTGTCACGGGCAGGGTGTTCCAGAGACCAGGCAGGACGACGAAGATGACGAATAAACGGATATTTAATGACTTAACAACAGGGAATTCAGACAGCGTAGACCTCAACATTCAGGGTAACATTCACAATAACCGACAAACTAGAATACAAGAGACAGGAACTAATATAGGGCAGATAACGAGGGGCAGACAGGTGAGCACAATGAGGTGATTAACTGATAAGGAGAACAGGAACAACCAAATAAGGACACAGAGGGAGAAACCACAATCAACAGTCCCCAGGGGTGTGACAATTACTATATGTTTTAGTTCAATAATATAGTTTTTTATTTATTTAACATTTTGTATTTTCAGGGTAATTTATTTTACTAAATTATATTTATAAAGTAGTGAAAATGCAGTTATTATCTGTTAACCATTTTTTTGTTGAGCACTTTTTGACCTGAAAAAGGAATTTCCAATTTAAACTTAAACTTAACCTTAAATCTTGAATGCTTTGAAATGCAGAATTAAGTTTGGTCTCTTTTTAAAGACTGTAGGCAGATTATTGAAAATTGTAAAAAAAATAAAATAAATAAAAATAAACAATCTTTATTGTTCTAAACTTCAATTGTATAAAACTTTCGTTTAATTTATCTTCATCGCACACGAAAAACTGGTTTAAGATATTTAGAGACTGCTCCCAGTTCAAATGTCAGTCCACCCACTCTTAATAAAGGCTGATGAGACTGTGAGATTTTCAGTTCAGCATCACTGTATTCAGCTGCTGAAGAGAGAGAGAGAATATGCAGCAGCATCTGACCTCAGGTAGACTTTTACAAAAAAAGTTGTAATGAAATTAAAATAATAAAATAAACAATGAAATGAAAAATGCACAAAAATAATATTTCCATATTTTATGTGAATATACACTGTTCAAAAGTTAGGGATCAGTAAGATTTCTATTATTTTTTAAAAGTGGTTTCATGATCGAAAATACAGAAAAACTGTAATTTTGTGAAATATTATTTCAACATTTTTACATCAAAAAACATAATGATTTAGAAGTAATAGGTTATGTTCTGTCCTGTTTAACCCCCTCATCGGAACGCTCTGTTTGAATAGGCGTGGAGGATTGTAGACTCAGACGCAAACACCCACTGCCGTGATTGGCTAATAGTTGTGTGACAGCCTACATTCCTCACAGATGGATGCTGCAGTGATTTAGGTCAAAAACACATAAATAACTCAAAATATATCAAGTGATCTGTAAGAAGAGACAAAGCTATAGTGACCACGTAATGAAAACAG